TTTTTTATTTATTGTAGAGATGAGGGCTCGCCAAGTTGCCCAGGTGGGTCTCGAACCCACGGGTTCAGGCAATCCACTCACCTGCCTCCCAAAGCAGTGGGATTACAGGTTGAGCCACCGAGCCCGGCCAAGTACCCTGGTCTTTAAGACAAGGCACATTTGGCCACATCTCTTGTCTTGAATTCTTCTCCTAACCCCAGTCCCAACTATTTACTCCAAGCTCCCCTGGCTGCTCTTTCTCATTCTTCCACCTGGGCCCTCTTCCTCCACCCACACTGTGAAAATCGTTCTCTCTACACAGGCTCCTCTATACTCATCAGTAAGTACCCTACTGGTGACTTCCAAACCTATGGACCACCCTCTCCACAGTTTCAAGTCTGTATATATTCATCTCCATAGCCTACCTCACAAGCAGGTCACATTCCACATGCTCCAAGCAGAACTCACTTCCTGACCCACTCTGAGAACCCCTTCACTTTTTTGGTAACCTCTACCCTACACAGAATGGCACTACCATCCATCAATCCAGTAACTCAAGTTGGAAACCCAAGTCAACTCTCAACACTACCCGCTGATGCACCCAACATCACGTCATCCAGTACCACACTCCTACCCAGTAAGCTCTGAAGTCCAATTTCTGTTCCCTATCCCTATCACCATCACTCACAGGTACTTGCTAATTGTTGCAGACTAAAGGAATAGGTTCCTAACTGGTTTTCCTGTTTCAAATCTTTTTTCTGCCTTTCCTACACTAGAAGGATTTAGTTATAAAAATAACACATTAATCATAAAAAAAATACTCTAATGATGCATAAATGTAGGAAGTGAAATCATCCATAATTCCACCTTCAAGAGAACCTGTGCTGTTTCTAATTTTGCTGCCTTCTTCCACTCCCCCCGACAGTCTTTATACTGTTTCCAGAACTTCCAAAACTTCAGTGCAGCACTTAAAAAAACCTTCACTGGGCCGGGTGCGGTGTCTCAAGCCTGTAATCCCAGCACTTTGAGAGGCCGAAGTGAGAAGACTGCCTGAGCCTATGGGTTCAAGACCAGTCCCGGCAACTTGGCAAGACCTCGTCTCTACAATAAATCAAAAAATTACCCAGGCGTGGTAGCACATGCCTGTAGTTCCAGTTACTTGGAAGGCTGAGGCAGAAGGATCGCCAGAGCCCGGCGGGTTGTGGTCATGAGAGTGCCACTATACTCCAGCCTGGGCGACAGAGTGAGAATGACTCAAAAACAAAAACAAAAAACCAACCCTTCATTGGACAATCAAAAGGACTACTGACAGGGTTATTTGAGTAAGTCAGTAATCGGGGAAAAAGAAAGAGACCATTGGTCAAGCTAGATTAAATAAGACTGAAGAGACATCATAAGCAAGTCTAAGACATGAGCTTCAATTTAATCCTAATTCAAATAAACCAACTGTAAAACATTTTGCTTGGACAATTGGGAAATTTGATTATGGCATAAATACTAGATGATGCTAAATAACTTTTGCAATTTATTAAGCGTAATAATGGCATAGTGATTATCTGGGACAATGACCATATATTTTAGAGATACACAACTAAAGTAGGAAGGAAATGACATGGTATCTGTGATGTGCTTTAAAATACTACAGCAGAGCCAGGCACGGTGGCTCACGTATGTAATCCCAGCACTTTGGCAGGCCAAGGCAAGAGGATTGCCTGAGCTCCCCGGTTTGAATCCAGCCTGGTCAGCCTGGCGAGACCTTGTCTCTACAACAAATCAAAAAATTAGCCGGGCATGGTAACACATGCCTGTTGTTCCAGCTACTTGGAAAGCTGAGGCAGAAGGATCACTTGAGCCCGGCAGGTTGAGGCTGTGGTGGCTGCGAGTGTGCCACTGCATTTTAGCCTGGGCAACAGAGTGAGACTCCTACTCAAAAAAACCCCAAAACTTCAGTAGAGAGTGGATTAATGGGTACAAATATACAGTTTGATAGAAGAACTAAGACCTAGTGTTTGATAGATCAGTAGGGTGACTATAGTACTGTATATCTCAAAATAGCTAGAAGAAAATAATTTGAATATAGACTATAAAGACAAAAATATTTAAGGTGATTGATTTTCCAGCTACACTGATTTGATCTTTACAAATTATATAAATGTATTATCACAGTATCCCAAAGATATATACATCTATTATATATCAATCTAAAAAATAAAATTTTAAAAATAAATAAACTACTTCAGCCAATTAGAATAGATAAGCCAAATGTGGCAAGATCCTGACAACCATTAGATCTAAGCGATGAGGTATCTGTGGGTTCATCATTGTATTATCTGCTCTGCATCTTTGTGTGTGCATTTAAAAGAGCATATTCTGGGAGTTTTCAGTCTCCAAACACATTTGGTGGGGAACATTTTGCTGCTTCTCACTCAACTCAAAGGTCAAACTGCATCACAGGGCAATGATGCCCTCTGAGTTCTGGCTCTTGGCCCCCTCCAACACCTTGGCAGCACTGCCCAGTTCTATAAGCCTGTGACTAAATCTCTGCAGATCCCCATGTGCTTTGACCTTGGCATAGCTATCATCACCATTTAGAACATGCTCCTCGCCCATATTTGCTCTCCAATTTCTTTCTGCCATCTGGCATGGTCCACTCTTACTAACTTCAGGCCTAGCTAAAATGCTTCCTTCTCTATAGTCACCTTGAACCCTGCACTCCAACCCCAGACTGAGCTGCTAACTCTTTCACTTGTGCTATAACACTCATCACTAAGTACTGGAATTATGTGCTCATATCTGTCTACTCTTCCAGACACAAGCTCCTTGAAGGCACAGTCCTGGCTCTGAGTAGGCATGCCATAAATGATCACAATGTAGAGTGAAGAGGCAGAACAGATGTTTAGAGATGTTTAAGTAGTTCAAACAAGCCAGCACATGTTGGGGGTGGAGGGAAGGTTGGTAATGGAGTGGAGAGGGGTATTACAGTATTATCATCAGGCTACAGCTGAGAAGTACACACAAAAATAATAAGGAATCAGGCAGACAATGGTTTTTGAGAAGGGGATAGAACAAGAGAAATATGTTAGAAAACTCCTTCCTCTAGCATATTTCCACATGGAAGGATTCCTTGCTTTTCTCTATCCCTTGGAAGTTCATATGCTTCACTTAGCTAGGAGCTGCCTTTGGCAGAGGAAGTGCATTCTGGTCTGCATCCATACCACATGAAAACTGAATGTGAAATGCTTTGCCCCCACAAGGGACCTGCAGACACACAGGACCACCTGTGACTCGGTAGATAATGTCTGATTGAGAGTAAATGAGTAGCGGGGCCATTTGGCCACAGGTTAAAAGTCACTTTCTTCAATCATTTTTACTTGTAATGAAGCAACATTCTAAACTCCATGTGCCTGATTCTTGTATCCATCATTTAACTGGTTCCAAATTTGTGGAAAAAAAAAAAAAAAAAAGATATGGCTTCCTACACCCCCTCAAAAAAACCCCCACAAAAGCTTGACTCTGTAATAAGATTAATTTAGCAGTAATACATAGATTGAACAATGCATATGAAGTATTTAGCATACAGGGTTATGCTGTATGGTGTATCTTAGCTGTTTTGGTGACTGTGATTGCAACTGGAGAAAAAGTCAGAAAGACACTGCAAGAGGACAGGGTGAACTGTAGTGAACAGTAGGATGAATGAGACAGCTCAGGGCCTTTGTGAAAGAAGAATGGCTAGGCGGCAACTGGGAGTCTAAGGGACTCCGGCTTCCAAGCTAAAAAGCCCACTCTTATGAAAGCTGCATTAAGAGGACACAGAGAGCAGCAATCAGAGGCAATGAGAAGAGAACATGGCAGTTGTCAGCTCGTTAGGTTGCTTCATTACAAGTAAAAATGATTGAAGAAAGTGACTTTTAACTTGTGGCCAAATGGCCCCGCTACTCATTTACTCTCAATCAGACATTATCTACCGAGTCACAGGTGGTCCTGTGTGTCTGCAGGTCCCTTGTGAGAGCAAAGCATTTCCCATTCCCACCACAAGTGAAAAGGAAGGGCGATGTGATCCAATTGGGCTGAGGACCTGCTGCTGTCCCTGAGGCTACTACCATGTGATACTCTGGATCAGTCACAAAAAGACAAAGGGAACTCCCAGCAAATAACACACTGGGAGAGTGAATGCCACCCAGGTTGGAGGCCCTGACTGAGCGTCTCTCCTGCCCTCTTGGGTACCTGCATCCCACAGGTCCTCTTCCCCCGATAGGATGCCTTCGGGGGCAGTTCCCTACCCCATACTGCTACTCGGAGTCCATACCTCTGCCAGGTCCCGCTCACTGATACTCCTGGCAGTGCTTCCTTTCTTCCTGGTGCATGGCTCTCCCATGGTGACTCTGCCATCCCCTTTGGCATAGCTGTGCACAGTGAGCACTCCCGTTTGCTCTTGGGTTTGGCAGGAGAGAGACTCACTGGTTTCTGAATCAGAAGAGACAGAATCCTGTGAAGAAGTAGAGCCCAGGCTAGAAGATGATTTCTTTTTTGAACCTGAGAAGACAAGTTGTCCCCCTATGGAAGCAGGATTCACAGAGAGATCCAAGGCTGCTGCTTCTTGTTCTTCTTCCTCATCCTCCTCTTCTAGTTTGACATTTTTGAGCTCTTCAAATTTGACTTCAGTGGAGTCAGAATAATCTGAAACACACATCAGATAGAGCCAAGTTCCTCCTGCACATGTAAACCTGATGCACATGTAAACCACATGTATACAGAGGGCAAAGCACAAAGAACATGGGTGCGAATGAGAACTGACTCTGACAGCTACTGTGTGATCTAGGGCTAACAGCTCAGCCTTTCTGGGCCTCCAGCTTCTTCCTCTATGATGTGAGGCCTTTCTGGGCCTCCAGCTTCTTCCTCTATGATGTGAGGATGCCATCACTTATCTCCAGGGCTCCCAAATGACACTTTGGCATATAAAATGGGAGCATAGCCTGGCACACAGCAGACACTAAGGGCAGCTGCCATTTCCTCAAGAGTCTGCAGGAAATGAAGCCCTGAGCCCAGCAGAGGTTTGGCTACCCCAAGCTAGAAAATCTGCCAAGGATCTGGAAAAATGCTCTAAGAGTGAAAGCTAAACATTCTCACCACAAAAATGACAACTAGGTGAAGTAATGCATATTTTAATTAGCTAGATTTAATCATTCCACAATGTATCTAGATTTCAATAATCATGTTGTACACAATAGGTACATACTATTGTACCTGTCAACTTAAAAAAATAAATAAGCCCTGACTGTAGTCCCAGAACTTTGAGAGGCTGAAGTGAGAGGATTGCCTGAGCTCAGGGGTTTGAGACAAGCCTGGCAAGACTTCATCTTTACAATAAATAAAAATAAATAAATAAGCTAGACATGGTAGTGCATGCCTGTAGTTCTAGCTACTAGTAAGGCTGAGATGGAAGGATCATCTAAGTCCAGCAGGTCGAGGCTGCAGTGGCTGTGAGCATGTCACTGCACTCCAGCCTGGAAAGCAGAGTGAGACTTCAACTCAAAAAAAAAGAAAAGAAAGAAATTTGGGTAGGGAGAGGAGAGAAAAATCTGCTAAAAAGAAGCCAGTCCAGCCCTAGGGTCTGAGTCTACAGTGCTACTTGGCTGTTAGCAGACATACACATGTTTAGGTTACACTTGACCTGAGACTGATACAGGCCTCTCCCTAACAAATCCAATCCAAAGGCCTTCTGAGTGAAAGCTCTAAAACACCACTGACCACTCCAATCCCTCTCTTAAAATACAAATGGCTCCTCAAGCCTCCAAGTAAGTGAACTCTAAAATGGCAGGCAGCCTACTCATCTCCTCCCTACTGCCCCAGTCTCACCTCCTGGTTACAACTGCCTTCTACCATTCCCACTCTAATATTCAAATGAGAGGCACTCACCTCCAGTTCCCAAGTGGACGCACTGTTTCACATCTCCAAGCCTCTGCCTTGTTACGCCTCTCTTGGTCTGCCTAGAAAGGGCCTACATATCTTGAAAGAGCCACCTTCACCAAAACCTTCAATGTTTCCCTGATGCATCACAAGGCAGAGGAAGGACTGCCTCATCCACCCCATATATCCCTGACCAAAGCACTTCTCACACTCCAATTATGATATCTGCTCACACACCTGTCTCTTCCCTTTTTAATTTCTCACCCTGCACTCAATGTGGAATCTAACACAGAATAGACAAATATCAGTTAGGGTTGTGAAAAAAACACGATAGGCAACTAACCTGGGAAGGTAAGACCATCCTCGACTTGCCGCACAGAGCTATGGGTAGGCCTCACGGGAGCGAGGGCAGCCTGGCACTCCGTCATTTCATATTGCTCAGAACTCAGCTCCTCCTTGGGGAAAAGCTCGCTCTGACTCACCTCCTGTGGTATTTCAAGACAAACTCGGTGCCTCTTTGTCCCTATTCGGTGCGTGGCCAGACTGCGAGAGGACAAACCTTTTTAAAGAACCCACATAAACATCCATGCACAAAAGCACATTCACACACATCCGTACACAATCCAAAATAAATGGACAGAGCCTGTCAGGCCTGGTTCAAAACTCAGGGCGCCACCCCTTATTTGTGTGACCTGAGACAAAGGATTTCACCTCTGTGATCTGGTTCTATTATCAGAAAAATATAGATCTCACCACCCACCACAATCTCTGCCATCTCACCACAAATACAAATTTGTGTTGGTTAAGAAAAGGAATGCAGGCCGGGCTCGGTGGCTCAGCCTGTAATCCCAGCGCTTTGGGAGGCCGAGGTGAGTGGATTGCCTGAGCCCGCGGGTTCGAGACCCGCCTGGGCAACTTGGCGAGACGTCATCTCTACAATAGATCAAAAATTACCCGGGCGTGGTAGCGCGCGCCTGTAGTTCCAGCTACTTGGAAGGCTGAGGTGGAAGGATCACCGGAGCCCAGCAGGTCGAGGCTGCAGTGGCCTGGAGCAGCCACTGCACTCCATTCCAGTCTGGGCAACAGAGTAAGACCCCAACTCAAAAAAAAAAAAAAGAAAAGAAAAGGAATGCAGAGTTCCTGGCAGAGTGCCTGGCATATAGTAGGTACCAAATAAATGTTCCTCTCTTTATCCTAGGCCATAAGGGCAAAAACTCTCCTCAGAGCACAAATCTCCCAGGTCAGACACTGACAAGGCTGGCAGACAAATCACATTATCACCTCTGCCCTTGAGTCTCATTCCCACCACCACACTCTACTTTTCCTTTTTAAAAACACACTGACATGATGAAGAGAAAATGTGGCTCACAGAGGGCCCTATCCTCGCATAAATGACCCCTTGCTCCAGCAGACTACAGGCCCACTATAGGTGCTCTCATTCAGGAACAACCTGAATGCTTTGGCCTAGGATCCCATAGCCTTTACCAGGAAGAAAACTCCCTTAGCTGTGCCTCAAACACCCCTCTTAGAAAAGCCTTTCTGCAAGTTATGGGAGCTGCCCAGACATACCCTCCCTCCAATAGCCAGGCCCAAAGGACTGCTGTGTTACCTTGTCTTCAGGTCTCCCTCCTCTCCATCCTTGACTCCTTCCATGTCCTCCTCTGGGCACTCCTCCCCATTCCCAGATGGTGGGAGCAGTTCGCTCTCCCTAAGAAACTCGGCTGCTTCCGGTGTGGGCAGAGTATGGTCGATAACTGTGCTGTCTTTCCCAGCTTTCCAAAGTTTGTACCTTTCTGGCTGGAACTTCCTCACAAACACATCCATGGAGATCTTCACCATATCCTTTCTGCAGGAGCACTGTCACAAGAAACCAGAAGAGATCCAGGTGAGCAAGGCTCACTGCTTCCACCTCACCCCATAGCCTGTCTCCTCCCTCCACAAGGAAAATAACATAAGATGGTTTAAAATTAAACTGGGTGCACAGGCTGAGGCTGAGGGCACACTATCCTTGAAAAGTCTTTAAACACTAACATGGGAAAAAGAGGAAAAGAATGCATGGTACTGAGGTGAGTCCATCTGGGCACTAACCAGTGGGGTTCATGGTCAGAGATGAGACTCTACACTGCGGTCCTAGAATGGTCAACAGTCACCTGCTCTTTTGTATCTGTCCAAGCCAGGACCACACAAGCAAGTTCACTATTTCCAGTCAATGATCCAACCCTGTTGCTTACTTAGAGTAAAGTAAACCCTTAAGAATCGCTCAACAGCTGGACTCAGTGGCTCAGCTTGTAATCCCACGCCTTTGGGAGGCTGAGGTGAGTGGATTGCCTGA